GAAAGGCCAAGAGCCCCCGAGGCAGGAACAGTTGGAGTAAAATTAAGACAGCCTCGGCTGTTTTGTGACGACACAAGAATCCCAGGAAAGAAGAAAAATTCATCCCGGAAAAGAAGAAAACGTAGGCACTCTGCTAGGAATTTTCGTGGATATTAATCATTTAGTTCTGCCAATGACCTTGAGAAGCAACAATTACAGCCATTTTTATAGATGAGGAAATAAGCTCAAAGATATCTAGTAATTTTCTGAAGCCCACATAACTAGGAAGTAGTAAAATTTGAATCAAGTTCAAAATTTCTTTCTTCCCCTTGTTTAAGCTACAATGTTAGGGGAAGGCTTTGGTCACTACCTTGCTCCCCTCTCCCTCCCCTGAACTCCCTACTTTTTTGTCCAAATACAACCCAAAGCCCCATCTGCTTTGGCTAATCTTTGGCCGTGTATGACGGAGTGGGGGCAGTCTCTACCTCACCTAACACAGCACTTGGCGGGCACACAGCAGGTACCCAGGAACCTGAGTTTCTTTCCTCCTTACACGCGGGTGCTATTGACAACTAAAGAGCTGTGGGCGCATCCTGATGGAGAGCTGAGATTGCTAGCCCCCGGCCCCCACCCAAGGGCCACACAGTTTTTGTGCCCCCACCCCCCATACCCTTTCCTCCAAGCTGTCCCAGAAATATTCTCCAGATACTAGCTCTGACAGTCTCCTCCATTCCAAACACCAAACCTGGAATTGGATGATCTTGTTTGAACTCCACTTAATGGTGGAGTGACCTTAAAAAAAGTCATAGTTGGGGGCGCCTGGGTGGCTCAGTTGGTTAGGCATCTGATTTCGGCTCAGGTCATGATCTCATGATTCCTGGATTCGAGCCCCGCGTAGGGCTCTGTGCTCACAGTTCAGAGCCTGGAGCCTGCTTCGGATTCTGTGTCTCCTTCTCTCTCTCTGCCCCTCCCACACTTGTGCTCTCTCTCTGTCTCTCAAAATGAGATAAATAAATGTTAAAAATATTCATTTTTAAATTTTTTAAAAATGTTTATTCACTTTTGAGAGAAAGAGAGAGAATGTGAGCGGGGCGAAGGGGCAGAGAGAGAGAGGGAGACACAGAATCTGAAACAGATTCCAGGCTCTGAGCTGTTAGCACAGAGCCCGACCGGGGGCTCGAACTCACGAACCACGAGATCATGACCTGAGCCGATATTGGATGCTTAACCAACTGAAGCACCCAGGCACCCCCATAAAATTTTTTTAAAAGTCACAGTTGCTCAAGCAAATATCCATTGATACAATGGAGATTACAAAATGCCTCACAAAGGTATTGTGAGGATCAGAAGAGATGATCACATAACTGTGCTTAGTGAGGTAAAACATTGCATCATTTTCCTTTGCTCAGCTGGAAGGTGGTGTTTGTGAGTTGTAGTTCAATGGACAATATTGGGCAAGCATTTCTTCAAGATTGGGCCAAACCTCTCTCGTATCTTGCTGGTCCCCACCCCATCATCGGGCTTGGTTCTATTGTGGGATCCTAATAGCAGAGAAATCAGTATGGCTGGTCTTTGGAAATTTCTGAGCAGCTGAAAACAAATTTTAAAGCAACTTTATCGAGACATAATTAGCACATCCCAAAAATCACCCATATGAAATATATGATTCAATGACTTTATCAATGACTTCAGTAAATTTAGAGTTGTGCATTGTTTTTGTTTTGTTTTTGTTTTTGTTTTGCCTGTTAAGGTCTTTGGCCCATTGATCTCCACTGCTAATGTCAGAACATTTTCATCACTCACAGAGAAACCTTATAATAACAGTCCCTCCCCGTCCCTACTCCAGCCCCTGACAATCACTGATCATCTTTCTATCTTTACATAATTGCCTATTTTGGGTCTTTCGTGTAAATGGAATCATAGCATGTGTTCCTTTTCTGAGTAGATTAACCACATTTCATTTCTTGGTTTGTTCACTTATTTACTTCTTCACTCATTCCTGCTACAAACCTGATTAAGAGTCTTTTATGTTCTAGGTCCTATCTTATTTGCACCTAATTGATGTGCCTGAGCCCAATAAATCACATCCCTGTGGTTATGAGTGTTGGATTACTGCAGCTTCTTATGTTAGGACACACTCACAAAGCCTGGTTGTCTACTTGCTTTGAAAATTAGAACACAGTGGTTCGACATTTGGAAGGTTCGGGCCTCTTCTGTCAGCAGGGATCTTGTCCTGCCTAACATTTCCGGACCACAGAGCTCTCTCAGGAGAAACTGTGGAGAAGTAGAAGCTAAAGGGAAGTCAGACTGAATCCGCTTCTGCCCCTTTCCCTACAGGGCACAACGCTCGGAGGCGCTTCTGTGGGCTTTCCCAGCCCCGGAATCTGGCACAGCTTAGCCAGGTGCTGCAAAACCCGGATTTGGCAAGGAAGCTCCTGAATCTGTATGGGACACCTGACAATACTGATGTCTGGATTGGGGCCATTGCAGAGCCTCTTTTGCCAGGGGCCCAAGTGGGGCCTTTTCTGGTTTCTCTTTTTGAAAACCAGTTCACAAGAGCCTGAAATGGGGACAGGTAAGTGACGCTACCCTAAAGAGACCAGCCCCAGAGGAAGGGCAGAAAAGCACTAGCATTTCAAGTCTCAGCAAGGGGGAAAGTGCCTTTTTTAGATTAATTTTTTTTCCAAGTTCACAGGGTCTAAGACCAGGAGGCTCCTCTGGGGAGAGACTGGTCAGAGGGAGAGACAGTGGGCCAGGCAAGGCTGATATTGCCTGAGCTACGGGCACCTTTAACCCATGAGATTGACTGGTCAGCCTCGCTCTTCCTGGCTAGTGGATCCCAGAAAACATGGACAGAAAGGGCTAAATCTGGTTTCCTTCCTAAACTTATGGTTAAACACTTGACTTATTTGGATTTGGTATCTACCTGGGTTCAAATCCAGTCCTGGCCGCTAAATTTCTGTGCATTTATACTGGGCAATTTACTTGACCGCTGAACCTGTTTCTTCGTCTATAAAATGGGAATAATACCTGTTTCGCAGGAATTCTGGAGAAGTGAATGAAATGATGTGAAGCACCTGGCATGCAATGGGTGCCCATCCTGTTAATTCCTCCCTAACACACGAGGCCCTGGGCCAGATTTCCTGGTCTGGAATTGTGTATGACCATACTGGTATCCCCACCATTTCGAGGGACATCTTCAGGGCCAACACTTACCCCCAGGGCTTTGTAAGCTGCACCGCATCCCCAGGTTGGATCTGTCAGCCTGGCAAGGCTAATGAGGACTCTGCAGGTAAGGGGGGGGGCCTCCTCCAACAGCCCTGGGTGGGGCCAGGCTTCCACATCCTTCCCTGGACCAGATGGCTGAGACCCTTTAGGCCTCTCAGCAGAGACAACAAAACTTGTCACTAGAGACAGGGTACTCTTCCCTAGTGGCTTCCCGGTATGCTAGTTTCTGGAATGTTAATCCAAGGCTCAGGACTTTGGGGGGCAATTGGGAAGTGTCGAATCAACTCCAGCCCAGTCATCAACACCCCAACACAGCTCCATGTCTGGACACCCAGCAAGTTCCACACTGGCTCACTTGTGCTGCTTCCGCAGGAGCCCATCCCACGTCTGCAGCCTCGGACACAGGATCACGTAGGGAAGACCACAAGGCTACCTTCTCCCCCGGAGCAAGCACGCCTGCTGACGCTTTTGCTGGCTATGGCTCAGGGCTGGTTCTGTGGCTGGGAGTCACGGCTGGGGCTCCCAGCAGCAGTGAACCCTCCCGCCTTGGGAACCTCTTAGGTAGAAGGTCAGGCATCAGCTCTGGGTGAAAGGAGGTCTTGAGGCCCAGGCAGGAAGAGTCATCTGAACGATTTCCAGCTTTTTTCTATTTCCCAGCCTGTCCCTCACACCTGCCCGTGGCTGCAGGCCACCCCACACCTGGTCCTGGCCATCCCACAACCCTCTGCTGGAGCCTGCAGGCTGGGCAGCACGCTCTGCTCGTACCAGTAAAGGACGGCTGGGGGGCAGGAGCTGGTTTCTGAGTTAGGCTGGGGAGGGCATGACATTTGGGCTTTGCTCCAAATGTCTAGAAGGAGCACAGCCAGGACACCGGTGGCACTAACCCCTAAGGCTCTCCTGCGGGCTCACATAAGAGAACCAAAAGAGACACTATGGATAGGAAAGGGTAGAAAAGGGGAAGATTCAGGAGAACACCTTGGCCACGCCAGCAACCTGAGCAGAAAACCAGCCAACACATCAGTCAATATACAAAGTTTTTATGTACAAGAAAACACAATAAAGGTACTACCCAGCTAGCAGAAAGGACTGGGCACTGCCTTTAGCCTTCATTTACTCCAGAAATAAGTTGTATCTCCAAACACAACAAGCCCAAGCAGCAAGCCCAGGCTACCCTGGAAAGAGGAGGCTGAGGCTCTCGGGCCGGGAATTCAAGATATCTCTCACCTTTCTTTAGCCTCCATTGTTCTTTTTACATTTTTTTTATTTAAGTAGGCTTCACGCCCAGCACAGAGCCCAATGCGGGGCTCGAACCCACGACTGTGAGACCAAGACCTGAGGTGAGAGATGAAGAGTCAGACGCTGAACCGACCGACCGAGCCACCCCGGTGCGCCTTGAACCTCCATCCGTAATGCAGGCTGCAGACCAGGAGTTGCCTGCGGCTCTCCGCTGGGAGACAGTGAGACAAGCCAGAAAAGAGGCTGTGTTGAGGACTGAGCTAACTGTGGGGTCACCCCAAACGGAGCTAAACCAGTAAGTCTGCCTTGGGGTGACTCCCACTTGCAGTAAATGAAATATGAAGAGGGGGACCATAGGGTCTCCAGCTTTATTGCTTCGCAGCAGGGAGGAGACCCTGCTGAAGACCAGGCAGAGGCACCGGCCTGGGATTTTCTCAGCTCTTCTGGTTCTCGGCAAGGTCAATGGGGTCACCAGTCAGAAGGACGAAGGTAGGGGGACACCAGCGTTAGCCATCACGCATCTTGTCCTCTTGCCCAGGGGCCAGTGCAGCAGTGAGCTAGGACGCCATGGTTCCCGAAGGGCTCACCAGGTCCTGGGGAAGGCTTTCTCGGGCCTCCTGCATGCGACGCCGGGCGCGACGGAAGGCCTCTGCGAGGGGAGCAAGTATAGCAGTCAGCTGCCACGCTGTGGGGAGGAGCGTGGCTGCTGCTGGTGCTGGGTGGCCGGCTGCGGGGGGGCAGGGAGACCTACCAAGCACACTGTGAACGGAACTCTGCTGGCTGAATCCCTCCAGACGGTCCAGCACACTCTGCATCCTTTTCCGGAGGAAACTGGACTCCATGAAGGCCCTGCACACAAACCCACCACACGGCCACAGCTGCTCTCCAGCCCTCAGGGGTAAGGCTCCCCGAGGCAGAGGCCAGGGTTACTCACCTGGATTGCTGCAGACAGTGCAGGCGGAAGGTGACGCTGCCTGTGGTCTCAGTGCGGAACCCAAAGCGGCTCAGACGCTCTCCCTGTGGTGTGCAGTTAAGACAGCATCAGGCTTCTGTGGCTTCTAGATCCCAGGAGCACGCTGGCCTCACCCCCATCCTTACTCCCATTCTCGGAGAGAATGGGGAAACCCCATTCCAGCACCCAGGCTCCATCATCTCAAGGCTAACACTGGGCTCCCAACTGTAAATGAGGGAACATTCCAACCTCCCTGGAGAATAGCAGCCTTATAAGCAGCCTGCCAATCCTCCCCACCTTCGATTACTGAAGCTCCGTGATGGGCTGGAAGGAGGGGCCAGTAACTCTGACGGGACCAGGGGAATCTCTGAGTATACTCATTTCCAGAGATCTCCTAGGATAGGAGATTTCCTAGGATCTCCTATGTCTGTACCTGGTTCAAGATGTGGCCATGACCTCCAGCTTAAACCACAGGCAGGAAGGGACTAAGTAATAATGATGCAATTAAGGGGCCTTAACCCTGATTCCACCTTCTCCAGAAGAGACAGGAACCTAAGCTCCCAGCATGAAGTCTGCCTAGAGACAAAAGTGACCTTGAAGGTTCCCGGTATCCGCACGTAGGAGAGGTCCTCCAGTTCCAGAGAGCCGCCAATGAAAAACCTCCTCAGCTCAGCCACTGTGCCAAGTTCCATGGGTCTCCACGTGGAGACTGTCAGGGTGTGACAGCCTATGCAGAAAGGACAATGGGGCCACAGCCAGAAAGGGCATGTGGTCTCTCACTGACCCCCAGCAATGACACAGGCCTACCAACCACGAAAACACCTGACCTCTGGTGAAGGTTATCATGGGGGCTTGGGGCACCTGTTTGGAAATCAATCAGCTAGAAATTAAAAGCTCTGCCAGTTGTTACTTGCATACCCAGGTCAAGTTTCTTAACCCCCATGATCTCCGTTCTCCTCACTGGTAAAACGGAAATGGTATAGCGCCTACACTCGCAGAGAGGTCGGCAGAATGAAACGAGACGCGCTTAGTGCAATGCCTGACAACAGAAGACAGTGGCTATTACTTCAAAATGAATGCTGATCCATCCAATACATGTGTGCTGAGAGCCCACCCTGCCTGAGCCGGTCCCTCAAGGCCGCGAGTCAAATCAACGGAGCTCGGAGCGGACACCACAGATGCTCAGGCTGCCCTACTTTGCGGTTAGTTGCAGTTTCACTCAGTTGTCTCTAACAGAGTGGGGGAAATTCCTCAAAACGAGCAAGGAATCTTGCAAGTTAAATGCGTCTAATTCCTAACCGTCCCTACTTCTCACTGGAAGTGATGGAATCTTTTGGAAGTGTTAGTCTCGCTCCTAGGAGCTGGGGCACAGAGGCCACGTGGAGGGCAGGGACAAGAGGTCACCTGGGGTGGTGGGCAGCACCACAGCCCCGTAGCCTTCCACGCGATACCTCTGCCAGAAGTCCAGTGAGAGGACCTCACAGTAGAGCACAGGCCACTCTGGGAGAGCATCTGGGAGACATGAGAGAAGCAGCAGGTCACAGGAGGCCTTCACCACGAGAGGGTACCACCAGAGGTGATGCCGGGTCCAGGATCTACTGAGCTACTCACCAGCAGATTCGTCTTCATGGAGGAAGGAGGCCTCAAATGTGAATGGGTAGGAGAAGTAAGCCACCTTATCCTAAAAAAGAGAAGTTTTATTTTATACTCGGTGTCATGGGATAGGCTAGGCCTCAACGGGAACTTGTTCTCTCTGTGGCCGATGACATACCTTCACAAGGGAAAAACTCTCACCCAAGATAGGAAATAAGAGGCTGAGAGGGGAGGGGACGCCCAAATACAGGCTGCTACCATCCACAGAAAGACAGAGAGGGAGCCCTTGGACCAGGTAGCCCTGCAGAGCCCACAGAGAAGGGCCAGAGCCAAATGGCCAGTCCTGATAATCTTTGGAGTCCTGTTCCCCTCCAGATACCCCTCTTGTTTTCCATACCATTCCCAGGGATTTGGTGGCACAGGTCTGTGTTATTCCTGAGAGCTGCTGGAATGTTGGGCTTGACCAATCTGAAAGCCAAGGGGCATATATACAGTCAGTTGACCTGGGAGGAAGGCAAGTGGTTGAGAAAAAGACAAAGTTCCTTTATTGGTTCATTCACTCACACACTCAGTCATTCACTTAACATTTACTGAGTGTCTCCTATGTGCTATGACCCATCACTGGGGAGAGAAAAGATCCCTGTCTCTCATGGAACTGACATTCCAGTTGGCAGGGGAAACACAACAAACCAGCCAACAAGAGGCTATTGGGTAGTGACAGATGCTCTACTAAAAATAAAACAGGCTCATTTAGACTGGATGGTGAGGGAGGACCTCTCAGAGGTGACACTTTGGCTGAGACCTAAACTCGGAAGAACCATTCGTGCAAAGATAGACAGAAAGGTTTTCAGACAAAGGAAATGATCCCCAATAGGCCCTAAGGTGGAAATGAACTTGGCATGTTCAAGAACAGAAAGTCTGACTGGAATTCTGTGAGGGAGAGATAGGCAGGGGCCAGCTCATTCAGGCTCTGGAGCTTGGTTCTTACACTAAGTGGGAGGGGAAGCTGTTGGGGTTTAAAGCCGAAGAGAGACACAGCTAGCTTCCATTTTCAAAGCCATGTGGCTGTGGCGCCTGTGGCAAATGAGGTGTAAAGGAAGCAGCAGGGTAAGTAAGAAAGTTAATGCATTGGCCACGGCAGAAGATGAGAGATGCAGGTGGCTTGGTCTAGGGTGCTCGAGAGAGCAGATGTTCAGGACATCTTTTGAAGACAAAGCCGACAGAAACTGCTGGTAGAATGACGGGCTGCAAGGAGCTAGAGAAAGTGAGGAATTCAGGGTGTCTCCTGGGTTTTCGGCACCAGCAACTAAGTAAATGACCATTGCCATGTCCCTTAGGGAAGGGACTCTTTCCCTAAGATGGGGGAAGACCATGAAGGCAGGTTTGATGCAGGAAGGAAAATCAAGAGTCCTCTGGGTCATGCTAAGCAGAAATGACAAAGAGGTAGCTGGATATGAGCCTGGAGCTCAGGGGAAAGGCCAAGGCTAGAGAGAAATCTGGGGGGTCTGAGATGCCATTACAAGTCATGGATAGATGGGACCACCTAGAAAGGCTGTAAAGAGAGAGTAACAGAAGGCCCAGGCCCAGCCATGGACACTCTAATGCTTTAAGACCAACAGATGAGCAAACAACCAAGGGGACTGATGAGCCACCTACAAGAAAGAAGAGAGAAGTGTGGAGCCAGAAGCCTAAAGGAGTTTCAGTGAGGAAATGCAAGCTGGGCCACGAGCTTCTGAGAGGTCATGTAGGCTGAATGCACAAAGGTCACCACAGGATATGACAACTTGGAAGTGATCTAGGACTTTGAAAAAGACAATAACTATTTCTTTGAAAAAAGGTGGGAAGGAGGCCTGACTGAATTCCTCTAGAAAATTGTCAGAATGGGTATAAAAGAGACTTATGAAAATTACTTACTAGTGGTTGGCAATTCCACAAAGAAGTGCACATAGAGATTGTCATACTCGTAGCCTTGGGCTGAAACTAAGAAAACAAGAAATGATTTCAGCTCATTCTCCTATCACCCTTAGCACCCAACTCAGTCCTGAAAGGCCTACACACGTCAGGAAGCAAGTCCCTGGAGGGCCAGGAACTCTCTGCGTTTCCAGTAAAGACTCAGGACTGAGTTTCCCAAGTACAGACAACCTGGCGTGTCCGCTGCGGCCACAGGAGCTACTTCGCAGCTCTACGGGGCCCCTGCCCAAGCATCAAGGGATCTCTGTCTGGCAAGGCACTTACCTACCTCTCCGTTTACAAAGAGCCGGAGGGCACCTGGGGCAGTCTAAGGTGGAGAGAAGCGGGAAAAGATCAGGGCATCTGGGGGAGTCAGCACTTCTCCTCCAGCCCGTCCACGAACCCCAGGAAGACCTGACACTGGCCGCCAGATCTGGGTGCGTCACTATTGCGCTTCCTCCCTACCCTGCCACTCCACAGATCGGTTTCCTTCATTTCTAAAATTTGTAACAGAAAAGAAAGCACATAATTTAAAGGGTGAGGAGGGCAATGAAGTATGGAGAGTTTACAGGAATAGCCAAGGGAAGCAACAACTGCCACCCTTCGCCATTACAGGGTTGGGGGGCGCAGCTGGACACCCCTGTTCCCTTTCGACGCCTGGTCAAGGAAGGAGGGAGTTCACTTTTTTAATTACTTGTGTTTTCTTATCTAACTTTTTAACACTGCCCGTCTACTGTTAATGCAATATAAAAATAACGAATTGGTTTGGGGAGGGAGGGAGACTGCTGGGTAATCCTGTGCTTGTTTCCTGACGTAGAAATGGAACTCCCGGAATAAGGAAGACAAAGAACAGGACCACAGAATGACTGACATAAACTATTTTGTTTTGGTTGTTTAAGAGCTAAAGTATTTGGCAAACAGAAATGATTCCCCTTCCCTCTCCATGGGGCATCTTAGGAAAAATATCCACATGAAGAATGAGGAAGACATTTTTCATCCCTACATTTATTTTTAAAAACAATTATAAAGGAACACCTGCATGTGTTAACCACTGATAAAAACGTAAAACTACTAAGTTTAGGGAATGCAAAATAAACATTCCTGACGTACCCCTCTCACCACCCAACCCCCACCCCAGAGAAAGCAATCCATAGCACGTGTGCCCTTTTAGAACCTTTTCCCTGACATTTTCTTTTTCATTAATGGTTCTGTCAATATGCTGTATTTCAAAACACGTAACAAGAACTGTGCTCTACATGCTATCCTCTGACTTCCTTCTGGCATAAAGAATATGTCCTTTAAGAAACGTGCTATTACTCAGCCACAGTCCGAATGCCCTGGCCAAACCCAGCTCGTGGTGCTGCGGGCAGCCACGCTACTCACCATCTCAAAGTCAGTGCCCACCAGGCTGCTGAGATATTCCTTGTGGCGGCTGTAGAGCTGAGGAAACAAACCACATGAAAACTAAAGATGCAGCCCCAGCCAGGCCATGGGTCAGGTCTGAATGGGTGGGAGAAAAGAAGCTGTGGCAGGAAATGCCACAGAGAGCTGGAGGCCTAAGCATCCAAGCCACTGACTTTTAAATTAAATTAAATTTAATTTTTTTAGAGAGAGAGACGAGAGAGAGAGAGAGAG